TGGAATTGCAAAAATTGTAACAATAACGACAATGGAGTTGACTGGTCTGCCTTTCGCGAATGGAAACTTAGACGAAGTGAACACGAGACACCGGAGGCGAGCTGTTCCGCATGGAATCGCTACTGGTTGGGTTGGATTCGCTTCCGCGGATCTGTGAGAACGCGCTCTGTCTTACACGGTGTCGAAATATTATTGCCCAAACAGCCTGGCTTGATGATACAAACGGCACGGACTAATTAGTGGGAATCGACGGTAACAATAACTCTGGGTAATTGTTGCGAAACGAATAAAACAGCCCGGAAAAATAGCCGTTTCGTTATTATTTGTCAATTGCAAATACAATTTTCCAATTATCATATCGTAATAGTGGTACGAAAAAAAAAAATACGATAGTCGGATATTGTATACGATTAAAATGATGTATCCGCATGGGGAAAGTGATGACACCCTTATAAAATCTTTTTTTCGGACATTTGTTTGAAAAATCGCAAAATTTGCAGGTACCTCAAGGACAGACTTTTCGAACGTTGCGGCTTGAGTGGAGTCGAATGTGAAAAAAACGTGGAGCTATGCGAGAGAGTCTAGGGGTAGTTCTACCGTAGGACGGTGTAGAAGGGGTTGGGACCTGCGCCAGGGTGCAACTCCACCAGGCGCATGTCTCGACCCATTCCCGATATACCGCCGAGGTTTGACTCCCGATAGGATCAACAAGAGTCATGGCTATTTTGAAAAGAAGTATACACCCACGTGTGGTTCTAAAATTTGTGAAAAAAAGCAAGTATAAATATTTTGAAAAAATCCAAACTCCAAACAAAGTTTATACTTGAATTAACGAGTCCGTAAAATTCAGTAGGAGCGAACGAGACCAAGAAATAGGATCCGTACCGGATAGCAGTAAAGAAAGTGCCCAAGGGCGTAACTTTACCCTCTTCCACCGAGCATAAGAGCCCCTAACGTAAGGGTCCGCACGACCCTCGCTCTTTCCGATCAGCCCGTTGAAGTCACCAATACTTCCGATATCGTTGCAGCATCCCCAAAAGGATCCCTCGAGGAGTTCAGCAGGCTAGAAGGCGGCGGTAATGTAGGCTGAGATGGTGGGGGTAGCCACCCCCGCGTTCCTTCGACGCTGTCTGTGGATTTCACCGCGTCGCGGCGCCACAGGACGGCCCAGACTCGTACCGTCCCTTGCAGCAAGCAGGGTAAGTATAGTCCTACCCTTCGGTATCGTCGCATCCAATCACCGGTTATCGATACAATTCGGGCACCCTTAACTCGACGAAAACTTGAGCCAAAATTCATCCCTCAACAATATCATATATGATTGGCAAGTAAATTTGTCCGTCTACCTAAGCAAGACCCAAAAAAGGAAAGAGCATCGGGTCAATTATTAAGCCGTTGTAAAAGTGCGTGCTGGAGGGATGACTGCGAGGGCTGCAGAACTGAGCGGTTGAGTTAGTCTTGGCCAGAACACAGGCCTAGTAGGATCACCGTATACGCAACTTTCACGCAACAGTCAGATATTAGAAATACAAGTTTACCCCTGTGCACTTCTCTACGGAGGTGTCAAATAAATCCTCCCTCATTACGACTCGATCGTTCCTATTGTCAATTAGTTTAACCAGTGCGCGTAGATACGTACGTACGTTTTCGTATCGCGTACACGCGGGGTAGTCGCAACACGAGGCGCTACTAATGTACCAGTAGTGAAGAACAGGTGATTACCGGGCCCAATGCTGGCCCGTTTTGTGTGAATTGTGCATTGTGACGATTACGTGATTTGCCTTCGAGCCTTTTCCCTCCGAGCCCGAGACAGTGTGACATCCGATACGGGAATAATATATGCGTTACATACGTGTCCTCGGGAATGCCTCTCCTATACACGTATGTGAGTTTCGCGCGACGCAAATTATGAAAATCATTAATAAAAAATTAATGACGTATTAAAATCGATTAACCAGAGGACTTTTTTTTTTATTATTATCAAATGCAGATTTAATCTTTGAAAATTATTTGACACAAATTTTTTAGCAATTTACACCGTTTCGAGGTCCATGAAATTTCGCGGTATCGGATTAGGTGACACGGAAGTATACGTGATTCGTTTATTGAAATTTTCCTAATTATCGTCTTTACCTGCACGGTTAACATTGGGGAAAGTGGCTGGACGAGTATATGAAGTTTAGTTATACACACGTGCACTCCTTTCACGTATTATCTCAAAGTTGACGCACAGTTGGCATGAACGTGACATTGGCCGGATTCTTGATCGTCTCTTAGCGGAGTAACTTGGGTGAATAGATTTATCTTCCAAGCGGTCATCCAACTGGATGCTGCATAGCATGAGATCTCGTACTCTTGCAAGAACCCGAGAATCACGATAGTACCTATCTTGACTGGCTGACTAGCTGACTAGCCTTATAAAACATAAGTGTATTGTAGGTCTCGTGTGAATGTGACTGAGTGACCCTGATGAGAAGTATCATACGTAGACACGCGTACAAATCCACACATGGAAACGCAAACAGTGAATAATTCCTTAAAAAAAAAAGAAAAAGAGAAAGTGATAAAAAAAATTGGTAAAAACAACGTTTATCTCAAAAAAAAAGTTTTGCACGGTAGAAAAAAGAAATAAATTTATTTTTGAAAAAATTGAAAATTTTTCGAAAAAATTATTTAACTCTCTTCACCGACTTCGTACGCTGCAATCTTCATCGAAGAAACCACCGCCGATCTTCTCGCTTCTCATGGCCTATCTTATCCGGTGTAAAAATTCGCTTACGGACTCGGTCGCTCATCTCGTAAGATGTCCCTGAGCGAGGCCCGTGAACTTAAATGCGCATCCTTCACGGCGCGATATATTGTTACAATCGCACGACTGAGCCTTGCTTCAATGTAGGCTTTATCGCGACACAGGGTATTGAGTAGCGTGCGAACGGAACTAGAATGATTATCAAGCGCTGCTGTCATAAGCGAAATTCTCAGGACTTTCGATTATACATCGGACAGTTTTTTCTTTTTTAATATTAAACGCAACGTTTTAATTTACGATTAAAGTGCGCGGGTGACACTGTGCGTGCGTGGCCTCGTACGTTTAGATGTTTTCATGAGAATGCGACGCTCCTCTAGCAACGCGGCACTTTTTACGTCGAAAAGCGTATATAGGTTTTCGACGACTTTCCACGAAAGTTCGTGACAGTGACAGGTCTGAAAAAAAGCCGGACGAGTCTGATACTCCAGCGTGGAGACTGTATATAGACGACGACGACTGAAATCGGCGACTTCGGCGTCCTGCTATACGAACTCGCCCAAAGTCCATAGAATAAAATCGCATCGTGGAACGTAAAATACGAGCCGTATATTTGGAAGATCGTTGAGCGCGGACACGCCGGCAAACATTTTCATAATTTTATCACCTCGTAAATTTCGGAAATTACCGAACTCGCCCAGTAGTAGTAGCCGGAGCGCGAGCGACTTCATATAAGCCTCTTCTGCCAGTTGTTACCCCTTCTATGAAACTTCCTGACGCGTCATGTAAATCACCTTAAAAAAAAAATTTTCAACTTCCCGTTCATTGTTACGTCTTTCGAAATTATTAACTCGGTCTAATCGACGTCGGATGATAATATAATTTTTCGGTTGAAAAACATGATTTCGGTGAACCGTTTTACTTGATTTACAAAAATATACGAAATTTATTACGGAACTACCACCGTACCAAACGATAGAAATCGTATAACTTGAAATATATAGTGAATGAGATTCTTACGTGGAAAAAAAAAAAGACAAAAAAAAAAACTAAAAATTATTCAACGTAAATTTTTATGACTTTTGGTTCGTTTTTAATTTTCGGTTTTTCTTTTTCTTTTCTTACGGCTAGTTTCGTATGTGAACAAAAAAACCATCGTCGTGGTGTTTAGGAACCATGTGTGCGTTTACGCGCTCGTATATATAAATATACCATGCTCGCTTAAATTTGTACATGTGTCGGCACATACCTAGGCAACCTAATGCATATACATATAGTTCACTGTTGACAAACTAATCCTCGCGTTATAACGGGTGATCGTAAAACAGCGTTGACAAGACATCCTTGTCATACTTTCGTGGGCGTTTTAGGTGATGAATATCGTCCATGGTATATTCATAACTAACGTATCCCTGTATAGATCTATACAATCCATTAAACACATATATATATACACCATACACATAGTGTACACGTCATTCTTAACCTAAGCGGAATCAATAGATCACTTTTGTATCTAATAAAAAAAAAATACGAACAATAGGTGACACCGTGTATATAGTTCGGCAAAGAATTAATAATCGATCAATGAGAAGGATCTGACCACCCTTAAGAATTAGTTAAATTTACAGTCACAGGTCGCATCTATCGTTATACACAGTGTATATATAATGTCGGGGATATTTGTAAAATAAAATGTTGCAATATCTTACGATTTGTAAGGGCATGACGTGACGAGGTTGAAAAACTATTGAAAAGCCAATTTTGCATTCGAATTGCTCCACGTACTTTAAAGGGTCGAATAAAAGCAATTATCTCTCCGTTACCGAGTACAGTGTCTATGGGTATAGTGAACTTTTTTAATACGGACTACTCGTGAGATTTTTATTTTTATTCTCATTGCTAAAAAAAACGGCGCGTTGCGTAAGCACTGTTTTGTGTATATATATATATATATATATATATATCTGCTCGTTTGACGGCTATTATACGAATATTAATTCCGCTCTTATATTGCTATGGTTTCTGTTGACTTGGCTTTTCTGACGAGCTGTAGTCAAGTTGCGCGAGGTAGCTCCTCGCCATGACGCCTCCACGCGTCGTTTCCAGTAACCCTTTTCGTCAGTTATTATCCGCACGCGTTTATTCACAGGCCCATTTGTTATTTATATCCGCGGCTGTCATTCCGACGCCTTACGTCGACCCACGACTTCATTCTGTAGCCACTTGGACGTTTACGACAGTTTCCGACTGACCCGCATATCCGGAGACATTAACGCGTCCACTCGGAACACGTTCGACAGATTAAAGAAAAATTTCGGTCCAGCCAGCTTCCCTTTCCAAAAATTATCACCAACCCGAAATTTCTCTGTAGATCATATAATTTTCGTTTAATTATCTTAAAACAGGTTTTCTGGTCCATCGATCTTGTGTCCTTCGAATCATGCATATTTACACAAAGTTTGACATCTGTCACATACACGTCTAATGCTCGAGGAAAAAGATCATAGGAATTCTCGATAATCGAAAAAAACCAAAAAAATCTTAGTAATAATATCAGACACCAGGAGGGGACGTGTAGGTTTCCCGGTAAGGGTGCAATTTGGTCCATCCACCCGTTTTCTTGTCTGTCGAGTGGAAGGATTCGCGTTAAGGGTGGTTAAGGTCGTCGGTACGAGGGTGAAGAGGTCAAAGGGCAAAGCAGTGGGGATACCAAGGATAAAGAACCAGGGTAATAACAAGAACGAATAAAACTGAAGAACGAACTGTGCCTCGGCAAGTGTTATCGTGTCTGTTAAAAGTTAAAAGAAAATTGACATCCAGTGTCAGAAGCAGAACAGACTGGCCAAGGATCGGTGGCAGATAGGAGAGGATCCCAGGCTCTCGATGGGGTTCAGGAAAAAGTAGTGATTGGCAGGCAGAACGGGGTTGGAAAAGGGCGTGTGGCGGTGGACAGAGAGAGAGAGAGAGAAAGAGAGAGTAGTAGGTAGTAGTAGGTACTAGTCGAAGCGCGGAGAGTTGAAAATATGAGATCTGCTGCAAGGGACCACCTAGCCAGCCAGCCTCCGGTTCTTTCCTAAATCCCCACTGCTGCTGTACGAATCCCACTCTGGATCCTCGCGTCGAGATCGGGCGTTTTGTTCGCTTGGTGGGGATAGACCACGGGTCCCTATTGGCTCGCCAAGGGGCTGGCCTACCCTTCCAAGTGTACCGGGTTGCCGCCCATCCCCTCCACTGTCTCCGCGCCTCCTCCAGGCATTGCATCGGTCGTTCGGTAGCTCTTAGTTTCAGGTTAGGAGCCTGCTAGGACGGGTCTCTCTTGAAATACGAACGGAGCTCGCACAACCGATAGCCCCTGACCAAACAATAAAAAATAATAATAATAACAGTAACTCTTTTTCCACCCCATTGACAAGCGAGCCTCGAACGTCGTGAACGGACCCCCCCTTCCCCCGGCCGAGAAGCGTGCTCGTGACCGGACGTGCATCGATCAACAACAACATCCAGCCAGCAGCTTACGGGGAATCGCATCGCTCTACGACGTGACGTTCTCCACGAGGATCTTCGCCGTTAAGTGCTTCGAGATCGAATCCTCCTGGTAGGACGGAGTAGGAAAGATTTGGTCAGAGACACAGAGGCTGGAAGTGCTGCCTGTCCTGTGCTGTGCGTGTGTGCATGAGAGAGAGAGAGAGAGAGGATTTCGAAAGGAAGAACGAGCGAAAGGGACGAAGAGATAACGTACCGCAAGAGGATATGCGATAAGTGCGACAGGATTACGATCGTGGGCATAGAGAGAGAGAGAGAGAGATATATATATATATATAGAAGAGGAAGAAGAGAGATACGAGAAACAACAAACAGTTAAACCGAAGGAGGCAGCTGGTGTGACCTTGTGACAGTGATCGGGTTCTCTGAAATCTGGCTAACGAGTGCGGTGTAAAAGTGCGCGTATTCGCCTTGACGTCAGTGAACAATCGTTGTTGGTGAAATCTTAAAGATTCAGTCCGAATATCGTGCTGCCTCCGTTGCGCGCGGAGCCACGACGTTCCGATGCGGTGGTCAACGTGATACGCGCGCTCGAAGTGAAAATAAAAGGCCATAATCTGGCTTATGGTAACGCGGAACGTGTCCTCCTACTCCCTACTCTGTTGCCTCTAGTTCGCTCGGGCGTCCGGTGGCAAGCGGCCGGGTTCACACCGGCGCGAAACCGTACGCATGATCCGTCATCGGGAAAAGCGCGCACCTCTTATCACCGATAAGGGAAAGTGATGACACCGCATCATCGGACCGCGTACGAGAGAGAGAGGCGCGAACCCCAGTGAGCAAGGGGTTGTGGCAAGACAGTGATAGACGGATCCCGGTCACCGAACGAGTGTCAATGTGTCCAGGGGTGACCGGACCCAGGAGGAGGTAGATTGCGAGTTGACAGTGAAGGAGAGAAGGCGGCTCAGGAAACTCGGTGAAACTCCTCGTGAAGATATCACGTCGGGAGATTGAATCGGGGAAGAGTGAGTGTAGTGAACGGACTCGGTAACGGCTAGTGACACGTTGAAGATCCCGAGGAAGACATCACGTGGACGTTCAAGGAGACGTGGGAGAAGAAGAAGCCAAAGGATTGACGACGTGTTTTGGATCCTTCGGAGAAGCTGGAAGCCGTCAAAGTGGCTTCGTCACTCGGGCTCCAGGGGCCTTCAGCGCCGATCGGGGCCCAGCTATTGGCTTCTGGTGCCGAGGATGCGTCCACGACAGTCTACCACGCCAATCTGGTAGCCGGAAGTAACAGCTCCGTCACTGCGGCACTCCAGCAACCCCTCGGATCTCTAAATTCGGCGGCCCTCGCAAGCATGCAGGCCTCTACGGAGGCCAATTCCCTCGATCTTCAAGCAATGCAGTCCATGGACTGGCTCTTCAAGAAAGAAAGGATCTACCTCCTCGCACAATTTTGGCAACAGGTAAGAACAGTGATAACGATAATGCGATAACGTTTGTCAATTTGTCAGTGTTTGAAATTGTCAGTCTTGTAGAAATTTTTTTCAAATTGCGCCAAAGAATGAAAAATCGTGATCGCGTAACGCGAAAAATTCGTAAGCGACCGATCGACCCCCTGTGCTAGTACTACCGGATGTACGGGGTTGGGATGGCCTAAGGCTTCCGGTGGGAAATGCTGAAACGTGCCAGGGTGGAGGAAAAGTGATAATTCCGATACGACGCGTGGAAACTGAGAGTCGAGAGTGTATCGAGTGTGCGGACTAAGTGCGAAATTAAAAAAAGGACCCTTGACAAGATGTAGGATCAGGGATGATACGTGAAAACTCGGAATGAGACTGTGAAACAAAAATTTTCGTGCTCCCTGCGGGATTGAAGTCGACTTATTGCATACACAAGTCTAATCGAGGAAAAATTTGCAAGGCGAGACTCGGACAATTTTATAATTCAGATATCGTGTCGTATAAATTCTGTCAGATGGCGCACTGTACCTATATCCAGCATTAGGCACATGGATAAACGAGTAACAATGTTAAGTGTCCTTTCGTGACAGAGACATAGAGAATGTTTATTCATAGGCGGAATCGAGGATTCTGAGTGACGGAATGACGTTAGTCGATATATCTAAAATAAAGTAATATTCGAAGCGCGCGAATAGAACGAATCGGCGCACGGGAAGCTTTAATTTGACAGTCAAGACCCGCCAGAACCTTCAAAGCTCGAACCAAGAAGTGCATTAGTGACGAGCATCGAGTCGACGAACCTCCTTCGTCCACTTTCGGACTCGATCTAGTAATTTATTTGTCTCTGGTTTTCCCCTAGAAGTCTAGGACTTTCCAATTGCAAGAAATGTACGTACAACACGACACGTGTCAATATATCAGACAAACCCCGAAAGGCTACAGTATATTTTTTTCAATAATCGTCAAGACGACAGTTGTCAAGAATTGGCAGTAAGTCACAAAACGTAAAACCTAAAGATAACTTTGTACTTTGAATCTCGTTATTAATCAAATGTCTTATTGAAATGCCCCTCTGTATTCTGCGTTCTAAAGTATAATGAATCCTTCGCAATCAGACAGGATCACTTTCCCATGCTGGATTCTATTCCGAAGCATTAATTGACAAGTCAGATATTATTAGGGTAATTGCAGAACATAAATTAGGCATATATACTCGCGCCTAGGGCAACGCTGGCACGCTATTCCCGCCATAGTCTATCCGATATAACTTCCCAGTTCCGTAGTGTGACAGTGTTCGATGACGTTTTCGATATCAAAGACCTCTCCGAGATTCCCACAGCCCGTTGTGAACTCGACCTGAGAAATAGCATCGGTGTTAAAGCCGTCCGCAGTATCATACCCAGTGAATCCGAATAGTCGAATCTCAGGCGTTTACTTGCCGCTCGGAGTTTCTCTATCAGTGGCCGATTCCTACTGAGGGTTGTCGAGTGGCTCAGGGATGACCGTAGTCTACCAAGGGTGGATATAACCAAGCGTTGGGGTGGCCCGCGGGAAGTTTCCTCGACCAGCACTTGGCCGTTCCTCGGATAGTTGGCCGATTTGGGGCCGAGTTGACCGAGTTGTGGGTAAGTGGAAGGGTTGGGAGGTGTCGCGCGACATTAAGCCACGGCCAAGGGGGGTGAAAGCGAGAGGGGTAGTATTATAGATTACGAGCGAACGGACAGCGTCGCTAATAGGGTGAAACTGTTACGTGCTCGCATACACGGGTCTAGTCTCTCATCGTACCTTCGGCACTGGCACCCTTAAAAGAGGGTAGGTGGAATGTCAACGACTTCGGGACCTTTTAGCCGGCCGGTAGGTACATACCGTAGACTGTGTATAAGCTAGCCATGCTAGCTCGGAACTTTTCGAAGGACTGTACGTGGAAGAGGGACTGAGGAAAAATCGTAGAATCGAGGACGAGGAAACGAAAGTGTGGAAACCGCGATTAATCTGCTGGCAGGACTGACTCTTTTATCGGGAACGACACTGGTTTCCGTGGGACCGTGATAACGTTTTAGTTATCGTTAATTTCGTCGCTTCTAATAATATTACTATTGCGAACGCACTTGCTCTGTCTCCCTTATTGGCTGCGTTACCTGTTTCCAATGAAATACTCAAAACGTTCGACAACGTGTTAATTAGTTTTCAGTGAGTCGTCCTATAGGCTGTTCACGCTACTTAGGTGTGTCGAGCGATCGGCTGCATAAGGAGGCGAGGACGTCTGGGAGAGCGAAGGAACGAGGGAAAATGCAAATTATTCGAATTTTGAAAGCAGATGAAATTTTGGACTTTACTTGATAGCCCCGAGGTCCGTGGGACTTTTCTTCTTCTGGTTCCTCCTTTCTGCTCGCAGCAACGTGCCAGGCTAAATGTTTTACGCAGCGTGCGGTCCCTCTATATTTACGTTCGTACACTTAAGCCTATGCAGGATGCCGAATAAACGTCAAAAAGGTAAATAGGTTATGGTTGAATTCGTAAATGAGAATCGCGAAATGCAGGAAGATTTCCGGGCTCTGTCGAATTAATGGGTCAAGAGCCGAAGAGCGGATAGCGATACCGTGTAAACTGGATGATAGTTTAGTACGAAAGGAGGAAAGTGAATATAACGGGTGAGATGGAAGAAAAGTGATGAAAATTTTCGTTACTTCTTCGCTTGTGGATCGAGACGCCGAGTAGCAGCGGGCGGAACATATCGACTTCTATAAATATTGCGACACCGAAGGAATTCTTGGAAAGAAAAAAAGGAGGGGGCTTCGGGTGGGGGGTGCCGTTGGATTTTGGAAAGGGGTTCGGGAGATTTAAGGAGAGTGGAAGTGAGACGGTCGTGGAAGATCTTGAAAATAAAATAAAGGTGATTTGGCACTGCTCGCTGTAGCTCGAAGTGCATTGCTCCTAATTCTTCTTCCTCCTCTTCTTCCTCTCGCCCTGTCGGTATACACGGATTGCTGCGCAATTTTCTACCTCGAACCCGTCATTGAAAAACATTATCATACGTCTGTCTCTCGGTCTGGCTTATCTGCATTGATTGATTTACGCCATGTTCCTACGTGATTTCGTAATTTGTCAAACCGAGGTCTCTTGGTCGATTGGCTTGCCGATGGGCGCCGGGACGCCTCCGCGCTGTACTCGTATCGCCGCTTCACCGGTCGAGAGACACTTCCACTCCTTCGGTTATTGTCATAGTATGTTGGTCCAATGGGAATAGCCGAGAATTTTTATCATCTCGATTCGCGTAAATATCATTTATAAGGATCAACGATTCAATATCGTATCGATTACCTAATTTCATTTTATTTGCATATTTAAAATTGACATTTATCGATAAAAAATTTTTTACCTTTTCGTTGAAAGTGTACATGGCTATCTCACGGGAGCAGCGAAATTGACCGGAATCTGAAAGATATACGTTCGAAGGAGGATTTTCTAGCAATTAAAAGTACGTGACCGTGAACGGACAAAACTTTTCCAGTCCCATATTCCCTGTCACACTCCGTCTCATTCTTTCTCCCCCCCTTGACGCGGGACCCTCTTTGTCCCTCTCGTAGCGTCTATCGCTTCGGTCCGTGTGGGGATGAGGGAGTCCCTCAGGCAGTTCCCGAAATTCCCGTGTGGCGGCGGCACTCGTCGAGGAGGCAACCGACATACCGTGAGTCAGACGGCTCGAGAGCGCGCGTGCATTCACAAACCAGATACGGGACACGAAGAATATTCATAAAGAGGCGCGGATAGAGAAACCGGTGCGAGCGAAGAGACACGTTAAGAGAACGATGCCATCGACACAGCCACTGGGAACCTATTGCGTTCGCCGTGCGTCACTCGAAATAGAATAGAGACTTATTTCGGATGCGTCGTCTAGTCTCTCTGGTCTGTCTGCTCGGTCTAGTCCGTAGCCGACATTGTCTAGACCTCCTAGAATCTGAAGATGACAACTCGGCGCGTCCTGTAATCCCTCCTGCCTAACCCGTACCAAAGACTGGAGCGAGCCTTGTTCTGACTCACCGTTGTAAAAAAAAAAAAGGAAAAAAATTGAACAAACCGCGACAACCTCCAAAAGGGATTAGGGGGCGTTTGCGAGAATTGCGATTATTAATTCGCCCGCGTTATTTCTGAAATAAGTGATTTAGCTGCCGGAGCCAGCGAGTTGCCCGCGCGGCTGCCGCGGCCAAACAGTGATTCACCCACACTCTAAAAATAACGCATACACGCAGAAGCGAGGAGCGATACTTACTACCGGGTGGGTATACGGTATCGATCGTTATTATTATTTTCGATTTCATCGATATTCATGCACCGGGTTATCCGTCCAGAAACACTCGGACGTAATTCGTTATGACTTTTACTGTGCGACGTGCTCTTCTTCCATGGTACATACAATATCCATATACCTATAGTATAGAATACTCTAGTCGAAGGGTGTGCCGGGAACATAAACCCGGTGATGTTAGTGGTGGCGCGTATGCCTAACGCTAATTCGTAGGTAGACATAAACGGTAAATTGGCACTGACCGAGTGTGCGTCGTTTGTGTCGTGTGTGCAACAGATGCGCGAGGCACGCGAGCAAACCGCTCGAACGGGACGTGCAGGTCGCGAACTCGGGACCTCCGCTACGTACGCGCTCCTACACGCGTACGTACTGTGGGCATTGGTAGAATCGCATGTGCGGAATACATATGTGAACGGTGAAGTAAATATATTTTACATCTATCTCTCTGTCTCTCTCGTTCCCTCTAGTAGCGGAATAAGCGAAGTAACAGCCACCCGGAATATTTGCCAAGTGAATATACCTTCCCCTCTCTCTCCCTCTCCCCCACCCATATCCGCCACTTTGGACTCTTTCTATGCATAGCAACCTTTTATTTAGCGCATGCGCACCAGATATCAGGACCGATCCCGATTCTAGGCGCGCTCTTTGGATCGATTCCAAATGTTCGATCTACATGCCGATTTGAATTTCCTGCCGC